TCAACTTCTGCCTATCTATTACTTTACAATACATTTTATAATTCTCCGCTTAACATATGCAAATAGATATCAACATACTACAGTATTAAAATGGTTTCTTGATCTTTTAGTCTTTCTTTGCGATCAGTTCTATATACTAATTTTTATTATCTACTAAAGTTGTCTTAATAGTTGTAGTTTGGTAGTCTGCGATGAGATGAGCAATATATGTACAAGTTACACTCATTTTCAACAAACGACAACTCAATCGACGAAGGAGTATGGTTTTGTCATCAATGCCAAATGGAAAGATAAGATCCATAGACAATGTAAAGTCTCAGATAGAATATCAATTTTGCGGCTCAGGAGAAATATGAATGCACTCAGGTATTAATGTTAAAATACAGAGAACAAAATTAATATTAAGTGAAATAAATAAATCGAAGAATCAGCTTATGAACACTAAACAATCAATAAAATTCCGCCATTGCCCGTAAAAGCTTTGAAGACCATCATACCTTTCGTGAGTTAGTAAAATACTGAGGTTTAGAAAGGAACGATAAGAGATATTTACAAAATGGCTAAATTTAAGAAATCACACCGAGTTGAAGTGTTCCTTTCAAGTGAAAACATCTCTGATGATGATAAAATTAAAAAAAAAATTCCCCTTGTATAATATGGCTTCATCCATAATACGCACCCCTAAAATTGTGCTGAAGTGTGGGAAAAAGCTTTTCCTCCTGCATAATACGTATCCTTTGTTTGGTAATCAAACCCTATAAAGTGTACATCTCCAATTTCATTACGGCCAGCGTTTCCTACTCTTATTCAAGCTGTAATTGAAGATATTTATCAAAATTTCCGATCATCACGATTCGAAAAGGAAACAGAAATACCTATATTGTGCCTACTGCGCAGACTCATTAACCTGTTTTTGTTCGATAAAATGTGCAATCTACAGGATCTGTATGTATTTTTTCCCAAAAAATGCCTTTAAACATACAATATTATTCTAATTTAGGTTTATGATAATTCTTATTTTATTTTACATTTGTAAGTATTGTTACGTACATATGATTGTATTTAACATATTTATGGGGTCACAATCACCGAATGTTAGTGTCAAATTGTCATATTTGTTGCGAATAGTCATTTCGCAACTAAAATCGGCCTATGAAAAGGCAATTTTTAAAAGGTTTTTTTGTAGCTGTGCAAAATACCCACCTCTGATTTTGCCTATTATGTTTTAGAAAAATGCGTATTATACATGGAGATATTTCCACACCGTAAAACTTTAAAATAAAATATAAATATACCATTGATTTATTGGTTTGTTTTTTTACGTCTTATCAATCTTTGTAGGTTATTTAAAACCATAAAATAACTTTAGATTCTTTTAGGGATAATGATTTAGCAATTAACCCAATAACCAAGTACTAATAACTACCACATGAATAGGGGGTAGATGTCTTGGCTTCATAAATATTCCAAGAATATGATTTTTTTCCGATTCAAAATTACGAGCCATTGTCCATTACACCCAAGCTTATAGCACCTGGTGTTAACAAGTGGTTACCCATCTAGTTATTAACCATTCTCGACGTTGCTTAACTTCGGTGTTCATACGAGAAACTGTGTTTCAACATGATATGGCCGTAAGCCGATTTGATCTAGAAAAAAAACAAACCAAAAAAAACAAAAAACAAACCAAAAAAAAAACAAAAAAAAAACAAAGATGAAAAAAATAAAGCGCGTATATTCAAAGAAAATAGAGAATACATATAATTCAAATTATAATTTATGATAATATTTAGGTATTAAGAAACATATAGAATTTAAATGGAATTTATAATTAATGTTTTTATTAAAATGTTTAATTAATCTTGCTCAATATTAATAGCCGCGTGACAGAGTGGTGAGAACTTTCCTTTTCCGACCGTGGGACCTCCGTACTGATCTCATCAGGTGTCGATTTGATGCAGTCTACCTGGTGAGGCGATCCTAGTGCGCGTCACCTACGGAAAGTACCTGAAAACCATACTTTTTATTAGTCGGGATTGCATGTCGATATATGTGCTGACACAATCCATTGTGACTGAAGGTTTGAGCGTACCGTCCTGGTTCAAACGATAGATCACGCCAGATGATACAATCTCGTACGTCAGCTGAGAATAGTTGCAGTATAGACCACAGGTGAGCTCTGTGGATGATTTAAGAAACACAAATGCCCCTAAGGAGATATCTGCAACACTGATTGGATATTATATTTCAGTATCATTATTTAAAATATTATCTAAGCCAAAGAACAGTGATATGCCACAAAGAATTAATTTCTTATTAATCTAATTAAATCATTAGTATCTGTCTATATTTCTGAGATGTGGTATTATGTACACTATTTACATTGTTCGGACTATTGTCCTCATCTTTGTCGCCATATTTATTACAACGTTTCGGCCTTTCAGTATCTGTGTATATTTCTAAGATGTGGTATTATGTACACTATTTACATTGTTCGGACTATTGTCCTCATATTTGTCGCCATATTTATTACAACGTTTCTGCCTTTCAGTATCTGTGTATATTTCTGAGATGTGATATTATGTACACTATTTACATTGTTCAGACTATTGTCCTCATCATTGTTGCCATATTTATCCCAACGTTTCGGCCGTTGTACGCTCCGGCCTTCTTCAGGTTGTTGGAATGTCGAACTGAACCCTTTATTTCGCTCACTGGGGCAGACTGTGCTAATTCGACGTGCCATGTTTCAATGGATGTCAGTTATCAGTTATCTCCTGTTAATTCCCCTCTCCAAGTTCTCCACTGCCTTAACCAGGTATTGAACTCACACTATTTGGGTCCTGTCACTGGATCTAACTAACGCATTTGCCACTGTGCCATGTGTCCTCAAGAACACATGTCATAGTGGATAAAGGCGTTAGTAAGATCCAGTGACAGGACCCAATATTTGTAATATATAATTATTATATAATATATTATATTGTATTATAATATATTATTTATATTTACATACACTCTATCGCTGATATTGAGCCCTTTGTCCCATATATATAGCACACATTAAAACTATATTTCTTCATATACCTTTATCCATTATATATATATATATATATATATATATATATATATATATATATATATATTAAGCAATATAGATAATACCTTACATTAATTGCACAACTCGGAGTTTCATGTCGAAGCAATTTTCAGTTATAATTTCAGTATTGGCTTCATATATTTACCAGTTCGATTATATATATATAATCGACTCTCCCGTCACGTTCGACGTATGAGGGTCCGGCCGATAAGTCCCAAGGAAACCGACATCCCGACATCGGCACATGAGATTTGATTATAGTGGTGAAGGCCTCGTGCAGGACCAGCCACACTTTTTGAGGGACGAATACAGAAACCTGGTGCACCGAATGCCACAAGGTTCCCAAACGACCCTCCGCAGGTTTTGAAATCAGAGTTGTCCTTCTCCTAGACCAGTTGCCATCCAAGGCTATAGAACCCAGTCTGTCCTGCTATTTTACCCATAGCTGGAGGGAGATGAAGAGGATTCATACCTTTCCCAAGGGTATTAGCACGTAAGTGAATGTAATGGAATCGACTGAATTCGAACTCGGCTCTGCGATTCCTCAATCCAAGCCGCTATCCATTACTCCACCGTGCCTGCACACACACACACACACACACACACACACACACACACACACACACACACACACACACACACACACATTATTTTAATCTTCGTTCTTATATATATATATATATATATATATATATATATATATATATATATATATATATATATATATATATATATATATATATATATATATATATATATATATAAGAACGAAGATTAAAATGCCAGTATTCAAAATATTAATTTAAAACACGGCTCAATACAAAAGCATAGCAATAAATATTGATCATGCACTGTTACATTAGATCATGAAATGTAACATGATTGTAGTGGGGATGTACATGTTCTAATGTAACTAAGCATAATACATACACACACACACACACACACACACACACATATATATATATATATATATATATATATATATATATATAGATATGTATGTATATACATATATATATATATATATATATATATATATATATATATATATATATATATATATGGATATCTATCTATATATATGTGTGTGTGTGTGTGGGTCTGAAAAAGACATGAATTCTTATCTTATTCGTCGCGTTTCGTACTTTGATGGACTTTGTTAAGACAAATATAAGTAAGGCCACAGGACAAAAGACGTCGACTAAAGTAAGTTTTCCTTTATCTTTATTCATATTGTTCTTTTAAAAATATATTTTATACCTGAAATTTTACGCACCCCTATATATAATATATATATATATATATATATATATATATATATATATATATATGATGACAACTGCTGGCTAGTGTGGATTTTCTGACACATGAATCTGCTAGGTAGGGTGCTTAGCCAAAGCCTGTCGCAGACACATGTTCCGGCTTTTACGATGAGCAGTTTGAACACGGGCAGTGTACACAAACTCTCGGCCACGATGACTTCTGTCTTTTTGCTAGCACAACCATCGATGGCTTCCGAAAGGTGTGTCGATTCATTATCACTTACAAGGCTTTAATCGAACCGTGTCATGGGTTTCAGACTTTTTAATGGTGCTGCACGATGGAATTGTTTCATGGGAGAGATAACATCAAGGTCTCACTTGAAAAACCACCCATGATGAGATTCGAAAGCAAGTCCTGTGGTCTTGAAAAGTGACCATTCTAAACACTCTCACTTTCTCTCTTGTCATATATATATATATATATATATATATATATATATATATATATATATATATATATATATAAAAAGATAGATAGATAGATAGATAGATATGAACAGAAAGAGATAGCTGCATAAATATGAATAGAATAAGACGAATACGTATGAAAAACGTAAAATAGAATATCAACAAACTGATAGAGTTCGATAGATATGAATAGACTGGGAAAATAGATAGAAATAAATAAATATAGATAGATAGATAGATAGAGAGAGAGAGAGAGAGAGAGAGAGAGAGAGAACAGAACAGACATAGATAGATAGATAGATAGATAGATAGATAGATAGAAACAGATTGATAGATTGGAACAGACTTATAGAGAGATAGATCGATAGTTAGATAGATAGATGTCCTTTAAAAAGAAAAGAAAATACTGTTTTGAAACTTCTTTTATGATGACAGAAACTTCCTGTTTCTTTTAACGCAAATAACTCGCTTCTAATTCACTGTTTCGTGTCACGCAGGCTGTTAAATCTCGTTCCATCCTCATTGGCTCTTTAAACAGAGTCCTTTTTTACAAAACTTTAGTCTGCTTTCGTGCCAGATTGCGACGTATGCCGTCATTGTGAATGTGCGTCTGAGACGAACGCGATTAACACAAAAAGCCGTCGCCGTAATAATAAAACCAACAAGACCTAGAATTAAAGTAAATTAAAGAGAGAAAGACAGAAAAAGAACAAAAAGAGGAATATTGTGATTTACATGACACAGAGAGCGACTTGCTTCAATTTATGATCAAAATACAGAAACAAATATAGATAAGCAACTCAACTTTCAAATAAGGTTTTATTTCAGGATATAAGCACTTAATAATTTATTGACACTATTTACATCATTCGGACTGTTGTCTTCATATTTATTTCTATATTCATGACGTTTCGACTGTTGTATGCTCTGGATTTCCTCAGGTGATACATGTTGGAATTTTAAACCGAACATTTTGATCTGGAGCCTTGGTTGGGTAATCCAAACAGTGACTTGACCGAAAGACGTGAGTTCAATACCTGGCCACAGCAGAAGGAACAAAAACTTGGAGAGTTGAGTTACTGAAGGAGATTATCTGAAACTGAGAGATCCCTTAACTCAAAATTGGCATGGCACGTGGAATTAGAACAATCTACCCACCTGGACTAAATAAAAGGTTTAGTTCGAAATTATTTCTACTCGATAACACCTAGAATAACTCTAAACATAACTATGACGGCCCACCAAAATTTATCGATAGAATTATACAATTGACTACCCATGATGCCTCAATTTCCTGTATATATAAATAGGCGAGCAAAAACACAACGCATATAGTCCGACGATTGCATTTAAGCATGAAACAGACTGTTGACTTCAATGTCCCATTATATATATATATATATATATATATATATTAGCCGAATTACACGCGCTTTCCTGCGTGTCACGCATTTTTTGTAAGACAATGATTGATTTTAAATCATTGTTCTAATTTGTAGAGAAAAATGATGCATTTCAATATCACTCAATGACCTTGCCGATGTGACCTCCATCTTCTGGCTTTCTCCTATATTTTAGATAGGAGTCATTCCCTTGTCCAAATTTAATTTAATTCAAAGGAAGAAAAAAAAATCCGTTACTTTCTCCCCACAACCACCACCCCGGGGACCCCTTTTGGGCAAAATGTAATATGCTTAACCATGTAATCTAGGAGTCATTCCTTCGTTCAAATTTAAATTTAATTTAAATCAAAGGAAAAAAAAATGTCAGTGTTGGGGAGGGGTCCCTTCTCCCCACCCTATCAAAATTATCTTGCCGATATGATCTCCATCTTCTGGCTTTCTTCTTCTATATTTTGGATATGAGTCATTCCCTTGTTCAAATTTAAATATAATTCAAATCAAAGGGGAAATTTTTTTCAGTGGGCGGTTTGTGCAAAAACTGGTTGATTTGACCCATTTGATATATACTTGATTTAATACTTGATTGAATGAATTAATGAACAGATTTTAACATCGATATGACAGCTGAATTGTCACAACAAATATGTATTGTAAAGCACTACCCACTTATTTGTGATTACTTGCTCAACTTGACGTTAATATTATCTCATCTTGATCTTGCCGATATGACCCCCATCTTCTGGATTTCTCCTTCTATATTCTGGATTGTAGTTATTCCCTTGTTTAATTTTAAATTTAATTTAAATCAAAGGGAACATATTTCAGTGAACCCCCTTTGATCAAAATGAAATATACTTATCCAAGTACACTGTGTAATGTAGTTTTAGAATACATATGGTTTTGAGAGTCTATCTCAAAATACTAGGATGAGTTCGATAACAAACAGAGAGAGGTTACAATTTTATATATATATATATATATATATATATATATATATATATATATATATATATATATATATTCCGTAAAATTTATAAATAATAAAAGTAATGAAACATCTCAAATTTTTAAAGATTCACCTATATATGTTCCTTATTTAATCATTCTGTGGGATTCAATCAAAATCTTTCAACACACACACACACACACACGACGCACACTTTTTATACAATTGTAAGGCCTAACTACCTGGCAGGATATATAAAAATTCAATTGTATTTGTTACTCTTAATGTTCTCTCTTTTAATATTGAGCACTTTAATTACAAAGACAGCTCGCCTTAAAGGCATTATCTCATAGAATTAACAGTCAAAATTTTAATTTAACAAAAACAATCTCTAATCCAAATAACATTTGTCTACGATGCTGATGAGACCCGTTCGTGACAATGAGTGTTACAGTCATAAATACTTGAATATATAACAGGAAAAACATTAAATTTGGACAATTTATTGATGACTTCAATCCCGATGTTGAACACCTCAATCAGAAATAGGAAAAATATAATAAGAATTTGAATAAACAGCCCCTTTCAGCGGAATTTAATAAAGGTTGGTTGTATGGATTATTACTGCCTAAATACACCTCACGCACGCACGCACGCACGCACACACACACACACACACACACACACACACACACACACACATATATATATATATATATATATATATATATATATATATATATATGTATGAACACGGAGGTCAATACCGAGAGTCGAAATCCTGTTACATGTTTGAACACAGTCTTTATGGCCTGGATTGTCACCTCTAGATGTGGTCTACATATCCTCTGTCCCCCGATATTTGAACTGATTCGTCAAAAAAAAAAAACAAAAAAAAAAAACATCATCCTTTTAAAATTCTGTAATCCTCTTCCCCGCTACAACTTAATCTATATAATACTAATTAGCTTACAAAAGTAAATAATTTTTTCGAGAGTTATTCAACATCGCTTGAGAATGGAACAAAAAAATTAATTTTAAGTTTAATTTAAATTTTAGTTTTTAGTTCTGAAACGTGTTAATTTCTGTGACGTGATGAATACATATTTGTAAATAATATATATAAAAATTCTCAGAGTTTACATGTAAAAAAGACAATATTTATAAATATAAATGACAATAGGAAAACTGTAGTTATTGCTGATGCATTTCGTCCAATGTAGACGGTATTTATTGTAATAAATACAATTATGACGCAAGGCCGATGAAGGGGAGGAGTTGAGACTGGTCTTCCCTAACTATCTTATAACTAGGAAAATTCTAGAGAGTGCCGCCATAGAATATTACCCAAATATTAATCTACGTCCAGGCTTTTCCCCTATTTCACCTTTCTTAACAAAATTACTGCTCTCCCAAACAAACGTACACAACAATATCGTAAAATCAAAAGAAAATGATTGAATCCACACAGCTATAATGACAATATTCTCCACACGTGACAATAACTGACGTTATTTTCCGTTAACAATATGAAAATAGCGTTCTCTACATTCTTCCAGTTGCGAAGAACATTCTGTTTTTTGTTATTATTAGTTACTTTTTTTTAATTAAAGTCATTTCGTTTTTCTTTGCTTTGAGGAAGTCCACATTGGACGAAATGCGTTAGCAATAACTACAGTTTTCCTATTGTCATTTATATATATATATATATATATATATATATATATATATATATATAAGCGTCTATTTTGAGCGCGTGTTTGAAGTTGCATAAATGAAAATATATTTTACCTACATCCTTTTCCATTTGCATTATTGTAAGCATGTGTTTACCACTTCTTTCTATATGTGTGCATGTGTGTGCTTCATTTGTGAATTGTTAGATGAGAATTTCGGATGACGGTGGAGCGGCAAAGGGTAGTGGGGGGTGCACGTTTTATCTTCTTACCTGAGTGGTAAGTATTCTTTGTTCTGTCGTGATACAAGAAATGATAGATGTAATGAGTTTCCAAGCCACCGTGGATCAGTAAAATGACGATGACACTAACGGACAGGTGAGCGAGAGAGAAAGAGACAGTAAAAAGGAATCAGGTTTCAACGGCCGGCCTTTGTGTCTGCATTTCTGATTAGAGGCTTTCAGTTCCAGCCATTCATACAGCTCAACAGAATCGTATATTCCTCTATAAATAAGGGTAGAGCAAAAAGAAAGTAACTCCGAAAGGCATTCTTGAATATTTACAATGGTTTATTCGGAAATGTCATATTAAAGAAAAGCAAAATGAAAATGTCAAATTACAGTGATATTTTCCGTTGAGTTCAGTTAACAACCAAATATAAAATTAAGTCATCTAAAGATATTCAGTGAGATAGATAATTCAGTAATATATATATATATATATATATATATATATATATATAAATAGTTTTAAAAACTAGGAAACCATTGATTTTAATATTAAAAGTCTCTAGAGCCCTTTCAGCCAACATCTCATCAGGAGACAATCGTTGGATTAGCGAAATGAATAATAGCGATATTGAAGAGCAAAAAAAGAGGGGGAAACACACTAAAATAACGAACAAGTATATATACTTGTAACGAGGGAAGGGTTATCGTGTAAATAAATAGCGAACTGTCCCTCACGAACTGTCCTTTTAACTGTCCCTCGCTATTTATTTACACGATGGTTTCCTAGTTTTTAAAACTATTTATAAATTTTGTACCTCCAAACATTTGTTTATATATATATATATATATATATATATATATATATATATATATATATTGAACAATAAAAAATATTAAAAAATTAAAAGCATGCCTGTCTTGTGTGGGTGAGAAATGTGGGTAGGTTTTGAATAGTAGGGTTATATATTAATACTATCTATATTGTTAAATTTATGGTTTAGCCCAGCTGGATATTGTGTTTTTAAATGTTGTATCCATTTATTTTCATGGAACTCTAAAATCTTTTTAATGTTATCTCCTCTGGACTTTTCTATTCTCTCAATGATAGTGAATTTGGCATGGGTTTTAAAATCGTGTTTTTCTAGGCGGAAATGTTCTACAGGTAATAATCTTTCATGGGGAGTCGAATTAATTCGATTGCGATAATTATTAATTCTCTAGTGAAAGGGCCATTCAGATTTTCCTACATGTTGTTTCTGGCATAGTGTGCATTCTATGAGGTAAATTATATTATGACTTCTACAGTTAGAGTCGTGGTAGATTTTGAAAGTAGATTTAGTGA